CGGCTATAGCCGGCTACTAGTCGATAGTCGATGATAGCTGACCGATAGCTGACCGTAGCTGACCGAACCCATCCCTATATGTGATACAATTTTGTCTGTTAGTTGTGTAGAAAAATGTACCTAAATTAGTACAACTTCATATATAAATTCATATGTGAAATAACCCTTTAGAAAATCCGAACTTAATGACTCTAACTATGTTTTGATCAATTAGTTTATTGAACACCCTAATGTGCCGTGTAATTACTTTGTGCCGTAGTGCCGCAATGTCGTAATGCTGTAATGCCGCAATGCCATAATGTCGTAATGCCATAATGCCGTTATGCTGTTATATTGAGCTATTGCAGTAATGTGTTAAAATACTGTAATGCTGTAAATAGCATAGAATAACATAGGATAACATTCCGCTAGTGTTTATTGTTTAAAGTAATTTTTAGAATTAAGGCACGCACGCAAAGTAAATTTACTGGTTTTGTGAATAGGTAATCATTGATCATAAAGTTTGAGCAAAAGATCTTAATTTTTTCTTTTTTTTACTGTTCGGTCAAAGTTATTCTTATAGCTGTGAGTAAAATTTGGTTTCGATTATCCTAAAATAAAAAGTCTTGTTTTTAGATGTTCTAAACCCTTTAATATTTGTTCATGGTCGAAGCTAAATTGGTTCAAGACCTTATAAGCTCTTCCACCGGTTGTAACACCTCAAAACGTCTATTAAAATAAACCTTCGCCAAAATTTTTCTCAAATTTTGAGTGAAAATATCGCATCAACCATCAGGTCAAATTTGATGAAATTTTTTTATTTGATTTTTGCAAAAAAAAAGCTCATCAAATTTGACTAGGTGGTAGAGGTCGGAACCGGTTAGTATAAATTCGGGTTAACCCGGTTTTAATAGTAACTCGTTTTACTGTAATAGCAACCGGTTTTAATAGTAAATCGGTTTTATAGTCTAATTTGGTTGTAAAACTCTGATAAACCGGGCTTAACTTCGCTTTTATTATGAAAAATCCATGTTTCACAAAATCCGATTTAGATTCGGTTTAAAGCCAGCTCAGTTCGGTTTTTGAATTTCAAACCGGTTCCGACCTCTACTAGGTGGTTGATGAGATACCTTCGCTCAAATTTTAAGAAACCTCAAAATGTCTATCAAAATAAAGCTATGTAAACTTGAGCAAAGAATTCTCGATAACCACAAGCCAAATTCAGTAATTTTTTTATTCAAATTCTACAAACTTGTAGAATAAAAAAAAGGTCATCTAATTTGGCTTTGTGGTTGTCGAGATATCTTTGTTTAAAGTTAAAAAAAATTAATTTATAGGGGAGGTATGAATAACAAAAAAAAAAAAAAATACTGTAGTGAAAAGATGAGTTAGACGCGTTATCGGTATGGATAAATTTTTTACTGAGTTTAAAGAATCGCGGTAAAAGTACTTATTTAGGGTTAGGCCACGCAAAGTAAATTTTTCGTTTTGCATTACATGGTTTCAAAATCAACGGTCGGTCGGATTTTTTTTTATTTTTTTTATTTTTATAATATACAGTAATTAATAAACCCATGTTCATATTTAAGGCCACACATAGTTAATTTTTCGCTTTGCATAAGAAAATTGGGTCGGCAATCAAATTTTATTTTATCAGTTCTATCGGACAATTCCGGAAAATAGGTCTCTATCGGGTGATACCGGATTAATTTATGGGGAAAAATTAAATGGCAAAAATAGAACAATTGGCGCAATTGGAACTTAAAAAAAAAAAAAGTCGAAAAATTGAAAAAATGGGTCGGCGGGTAATGCAAAACGAAAAATTAACTTTGTGTGGCCTTATAGTTTAGAGTTAGAATAAGCTGGTGTTGTATGTAAAACTGCCTTCCTGACATTTTTATTTCTAATTACGTATTCTATTTGTATTTTTCTTTGTTAAAAATTCTCAACCTAAATAGCTGATGCATACGATCATTATTTGATGGCAACTAAAATTTGAATTTGGGAACCGAATACTGAATTCGGTTATAATTTGCTGTGATAAGAAACCTTGAATAAGGATCGTTAGGCACGTGACACGTGATCCAGATTTTTAGGGATATCCACTTTGATCCGAACAATATCAATATAATAATAATAAGCAAGTTATTGACTTAAATTGTTATGTAGAAAATTCTATGATAGCTTTGGGAGTTATGGTATATATTCACATCATTTCGGTTTAACTATTAAACATTTTGATTGGTTTACGCTTAAAGGTATAAAAGTAAATTTGGGCGTTCACTGGACTGTGTGCGTACAATTGCGAAACGATATTTAATATGGAAATTCGGCGCAGGGATAAATAGAACAATTTGGAAATTCATTTACAAGCATTCGAAATTCAAAACATTCACACTAATTATGCATATTATCTGCATTTTGTTTACTTTTTCGTTTTACAAATAACCAGTCATCTAAAATTAGCTGCAAAGTGTCTAAACTGATACTATATGTAAAAAAAAAAGTAACAAAAAAAAAAAGATTTTATTAGGAAATAGGTTAAACTTGTGCAATGAATTTTTGGAGTAACTCAAAAGTTTATAAAAGAACTAACGTGAATTATTTAGGCAAGCATGCAATGTCATCAGACAGGAAAAAAATCAACTCTAATGCGCATGTATTCAGAATATAAAATTTCATTTTTAATAATATGAAATTATACACAGTATTATTTATACTTATTTTTATATCATTTGAGACTTCTAAGTCTCATTTGATTCAACGAGCTGATTCTAATGATGGATGCGCAAATATTCATAATGATTATATGACAAAAGGCACAAGGATTTTCAATTATACGGACGTTAGTAATTGCTATAAAAGTATTCCATTTAATAGTAGTGTTGCTAATCAGGTATTTCAAAATTTATATAAAGTATACTGATAATAATAAGTTGTACTTAAAACCATTTATAAAAATTGTAGACGATCGAAACAATAAACGGAATTTTTAATGGATTCTATTCTTTTCTGGATATAGCGAGAGATTCACCACCAACCGGATTTAATTATAGTTCAATTAATATAACATCAGAGTTAACTCGTTTATTAAATAATACTTATGGATCTTTGTTTCAATTTATGGTAGTTCATATGGTTTAAATTTTCAAAGTTTTCTGATTTTCTTATAATTAATTTTAATTAATGTTATCGTCATAATTTATAGACCGATGTTAGAAATGTCACTTCTCAATTGAAAGATGCACACGCAAAATTTGTAACAAATTGTTTCACAACATTCGCCTTCTTTTCGAATTTTACTTTATATTCTGTTGTTGGAACAAATGGTACTCAGGTAATTTATGATTCATATAGTTGCATTCAAATTATTCATTACTATTTTATTTTTTAATTATACAAATCTTTAACTTTAGATAATTAAAGTACGTAATGATACGATAGATCCTTCTAATAATAATTGTGAAGTGACTCAGATTGATGGTGTTCAGGCATTTAGAGTGATTTATGAATTTGCACGAGATTCTGTTTTCATTTCAAAAGATATTGGTGTGCGATTTAATTTAGCTCTTGATCTCGTTGATGCTGAAAATTCTTTTTCATATCGAATTAATTTACCACCAACATCAAATATTACATATAGACTTAATTGTAGTAATAGTATAAAAGATGTTAATAGAATTTGGATAGCTATGAGTCTTCCTGAAATTTTAAATGAATTTAATGATTCGAATTCTTTTTATAAAAATCGTTGCAAGATTACTACCGCAAATCAAACAAGTTTGCCGTTACAAAAAAGAGAATTTCATGAAACAAAAAAATTACTAAAACGAGATAATAGTATTCTAGATGTTACGGAAGAATACAAAGGTGATCATGATAATTGGCAACCTGCAAACGTATCTGTAATTGGCGTTATTCAAGATTTTATTGGCTTTTTCATAAAAGACGATTTCGGAGTTATTAAAATATTTAGCGAACAAATCACTTTTAATGATTCTGTTGCCATAAATACAATTAAAGGATTTGAAAATCTAGCAAATACGGGTGTTAAAAAGGTATGTTATATCTTTGAATGCTATCATTTATTCATTGATATTATTGATATTCACATATTTTTTATTTACTAATATTCATTAAAGGTCGTTCTCGATTTATCTAACAACTTTGGTGGTTCAATCGCAGTTAGTGCCTTTATCAATTTGATTTTATTCCCGAATAATCCAAATCCCTTCTTTGATTATGATTTAAGAGTTACTGAATCACTTAAACTTGGACTACAAAATGGATCTTTATTTGATATTAAAGAAACTGCCTCTTCAAGTTCTAAAATTAAATTTCAAAATATTATTGATTTCATTGGTAATAATTCTTATACACGTGGTAATATTACGGAACATTATTCGAACAAATTTATTCCAGATATTTCGAGTTTACTTACTAATTTCATAGCACAATATTTAAGAATCCCAATTCCCTGGACATCTAAAGACCTTATTATTTTAACAAATGGTGTATGTGGGTCTGCATGCGCACTTATCGCGAGACATGCTGTAGAAAATAATAATGTGTCTGCTGTAGCGGTTGGTGGGTTTGTAAATACATCATTATCATATTCTTCTTTTCCTGGAGGGTTTTTAATTGATTCGTCATCCATATTTAAATTAAGTTCACTGAACAATACTTTGATACCTAAACCCTTTCCTTTGAACGCATACATAACACTTCCTTATACAGAAGTTTATAGCAGAACACAACCTGATAAACTATTGGAATTTTTATTTAGTCCAGCTAATTTTCGAATATTTTACGATGAACAAAGTATTCAAGATCAATCTATATTATGGTCTAAAGCAGCTTCTTATATTAGAACAACGTAACAAGATAATTTGTAAAAAAAAATCACCTTCATATTTATATTCTTTAAAGACATTGGAAAAATTAACATTTTCATACCTTTGTTTTTTCGATTATTTTCAATTATGTAAATAATCAACTTTATATTCACATTCTTTGAAATCATTGGAAAAAATAATTAATATTTCCATAATTCATAATTAATTTTCTTAAATTAAAAGTTAGCCTTATTCAAGGATTAAACTTTATAATCTTATTGTCATACGCTTATTCATATTAGAAATTTGATTGAAACGTACAGCTCGAAACGTTTCAAAATAAGTGGTAAATCCTAATATTACGTTAGTAGTATTAGATCCAGTTTAAATACTGGTAAAAGCAAGAAAGTTTGAAGCATTATATTTACGTACGTATAATACAGTACACTAGAAGTGTTTGTATGTGCACAACATATATATCTTATGATAATGCATTAAATTGTATTTGTTATATACACGATTAGACAAATGTAATTTTAACTAACTCACCTGAAATATAATATCTGGCTCAATAAATAGTGTAATTATTCACGCACGTACTTTTTGTATAACGGTTATTTTAATTTGAGCAGTTTACCTCCACAGCAAACTCATAAGTATAGGATATTGAAATGATGGAATGCCTTGCAAAGTGTTTGTAAAATTTTTAAATTCATTATTACATACTTTCTCCAGAGCATCTAAATTCATGCTGTATACTTCCACGATGAGGCATATATTCATAGTCAATATCAATTCTATAAATTATGTAGCTTAGAAATTATACAGTCGACTTTAAATGCACTTTAACAAATTTTGAAATAAAAAAAAGTCTAATTTGTATATCAGTATATTGCATGACTTCTCGTCTATTTTGAAATTTGAATTAAATAAAAATTGATTTAAAAATAATCAATTAAAATCATTTTGAATTTGCAAGCAAATCAAATCTTTAATCAAACCTGTTTTTGATAGTACAACATATAGTACTGTACATTTGGTAGATAGCATAATTTGTATTCAGATTGACATTTTCAGGAATAATTAAATGAAAATGAAATAACTAAATTGGAACACTTTTAACGCGTGCTAATAAATAAGTGAAAAAAGCGCGGGTTGTTACATAAAACCCTTACAATAAATAAATACAACAATGGTTTATTTTAGCAAGAAAGTATATTTAAATTAAATTGTGTAATTGCTTAAAATTAGCGAGTTTAATTTCATGTGAATATAAATATGTTCAGTCACAAGATATTTGCGTATATAATTTTTAATTAAGGCCAAGTATATGACCTGGGTTGTAATTTAAATTGTGTCTACATGAATATTAAAACTTAATTAAACTTACAATGTGATATTAAAAAGCATCGTTTCTAAGAATGCAAACTTAAAAACTTGGCCGAATGAATCGAGGCTAAAACATAAAAATACCTATATTGTGTATACCAAAAAAAAAAAATGGCCCGCTATATTCAAAAAATTTAAAATTTTTTAGATTATAAAATTAAAATTTTATTTTTATAAAGCTATGACCCGGAAATACATAATAGAAATTTTGGGCAAATCTATTAGACCGGTTCCAACTAGGTATGAGACTGGTGGACTGTTAAACCAATTAAATATAAATTATTAGTTTACTTATTACAGTACTGTTACCATCGGTTGGGAGAGCAATTGTGGATGTTAATCCAATTTAGCTCCGATGAATAACTAGGTTCGGGATTTATAACACTTATACTCGTGGGATGAGGTCACGAAACACTTAAGCTGGGTCGGGGTTATCACTTAACAATAAAACTTTAATTACCGGGTGGGTGTTTATTATATACACTAAGAAATGTGAGACAACAATAATAAAGAAAAATAAAACAATAATAAAAAGAATAAACTAAAATAAACTAAACCAATACATAAACTCAAATACAACATGGGGGGGGACTATAACTAAGACATCAAGGGTTCTATATATATTGAGACGAATATGGTCTAATGAGACCTTGCCTGAGGAAACTTAACTAAAGCTGAAATCCAGGCCTTAAATGCCCTTTACTTTATTAAGGGTTACTACGCTATCCTTAATCCCAGGCTTATCTTCTTAGCAATCAATCTTCGGGATACTACAACCCGTGTTAGATAGCTTCCAAATATTGCTTACAATAATTGTGCCAAATATTTACTACAATTATTGTGCCAAATATTTACTACAATGTTACTCTCTATCTAATGTTTATCCGATGATAGGAGTAATTAATTTCTGGGATTGATCCACATCTCTAAGCCCTAATCCGCCAGATTGATCTAAGTCTCCAAGCCTTTGTTCGCCACAATATTCTTGTGGCTTCAAGTTATTCGGGTTTTTAGTACAACCAAGTCACATCGAAGTCACGGATTTAATTTTAAAACCGTGACAGTACCTCTAAACTAGAGATGCGATCTGTTTTCTATTTTCTGTTCAAAATTTAACAGATATCCGGATATCTAGATTCTTTACAATTATTTTGGTATAAAATTAAATTAGTAGATATATGGATCGCATCTTTAACTCTAAACAAATATTCTAACCTGTCTATTATTATTAGAACTAGTGATGGCATGAGCATGAGTTTTGAGAATCATGCATATGACTTTGTAGGTATATTTCGGCGGATCGGCGGAATTGGACCTTTTAATCAGGCCCTAAATTAATCATTTTAAGGGTAATAATAATTATATCAAATTAATAAATTATACGGATATCGGTTAGTATATCAGAGAATGACATATTTATTAATGATTAATAAAATGAATAGGGTTCAAATTCAGATGATCTAAAAAAGGTCCAATCCCGCCAATCCGCCGAAATGATATTTTAATGTACCTTGTACTGTAAGTATATCTAGACAATCATTTTAAATAATTAAAATTACTAGAAAAGACCTGCTATTATAATAAAATAGAGATTAAATAAAAAACAAAATCAATTAAAATTTATTATCATTGCCTAAGCCTCTAAAAAACCTCGTACAGTATATTCTTATAATAAATTATCATCCGTCACGAGTGTTTTTACCAATAATTTTTTTCGTGAAAAATAAGGTACAACTTAATTTATTTAAAATTACTAATTTATTTTAACGTTAAAAATGAGTTTTCATGGCTGTGGGAGTAAATCTGATTCTCCAAAACGTATAAAAGATCAGGGATGAATATTTTTATGGAATTTACTTGTTTTATTACGATGGCCAATCCATATAGCAGATCGTACGGAATGATTTTAAAAATAAGTATTTTAGAAATTACGGAAGATTGGATGTCCAAATTATATGGTAAGTGGGTGTGAAATATCTATTTTAAAAAACATACCATACTGATCTCGTTATTAATATTGTGAAATTTTGTAGTTAAAAGACAAAAAAAAGAGATAGTAGATCGTTTCATAACTACAATTTATTATTATACGATCTGCCATCATAACGTTCATAACATCTTCATTTTCCAATAAGGAGAAATAAGTAGGTAGATCTCCGGCTAGATGAGGCTCATATAGCCAGTAATTTATTCCTGCCTGTTGCGTAAAATAAATAATGCACATTCATTTTTAATTTGATTTCTTTTTCATTGATTTAGTGACGACGATTATAATAGTGGATGTATTTAAAATAATTCATTTTTTTATACTGTATTTATATTAAATTAGTCTGTAGGTATAGTTTAAAAATATGACAAAAAATTTTTTGCTGCTGCTTCCTAAGTTATTCTAACACGATAAGATTATAAATTATCTGCTATTTCTCATTAAGTCACTTATTTAGATTAATTTAACCGGAAATTATAAAATAATTGTTGTATTCGAAAGCAATGTATGCACTTCTCATTAGTTTTATTAATTTATCGTCCATGCTGATTTGGTTTATGAACAATCTTTTATTCAAGTCGATTCAGTCATTATTATTTATTAATCAAAATGTTTGAAATAATTTATGTATCTATTATTAATTTCTTATTCGTCTGATTTATGATTTTATAACTTGAATTCTGAAAATTTATATATAAAATATTGAACACTTTATGGTGCACTTGCAAAGCTCATCTGCTAAATGCTTTTCCATCAATTCGGCCTTTAATTTAAAATGAAAAAAAGAATAAAAAACAACATGTGAATAATAATATGTCAAATAACTAGTATTCGAATTTTCAATACATGAATATTCAATAGTTAGGTTGATAAATATCCAGGTGGTTAGTTTTATCTGGATCAGATCATATCTCAAATATTCAATTCTTTCAGGGATTGTTTTTACAAAGTGCATCGATTAATTCATTTCATTCTTCTGATCTGAGTTCATATTATAAGACTCAAAAAAGCCAGGAAAGGATCGTGGTGGTTATGCTAGGTTCATGTATTGGTTTTGACTATTCAAACTCGAACATATTTGGCAAACTTCAAATAAAACTCGAATCAAACTTATAATTGTATTTGAGTTTGTATTACAACTTTGAGTTTGAGTATGGGTTTGAAATCAGTAAAATTTGCTGTTTGAGTTTGATTTGAGTTTGAAGTTTGTTCAAACCCGAACCAAACCCGAATCAAACTTCGGAGCCCTACCAACCTCAATAAACAAATATTTTTAAAATAGGTTATAATAATATTATTTTTTAGGGGTTGGACCCGGGTAGAAATTGTTTATCTATGGTCATAATAAATTATCGGATAACCCGGGTAATTTAATAATACCCGGGTAGGGATTTTCTCAACGGGTCCAACCCCTATTAGTTTTATTAATTATAAATACAGTATATATATTTATTTAGCTTTGAACACTTTTTCTTATATTGTATGCATAATACAATGTTCAAAGTCCGGTAATATCAGGCTTGATTTGAGCGGAATCAACTTGTGACAAATCTAAATAAACAAATTATATTAGTTTTAAATAAATATAATATAAATTTATTAAAATACTGGTTGAAAATATACCTTTAATTGCCTTTGAAATTAATTTCGTGCTAATAAGTTTGCTAGT